GTAAAAGTTTTTAGCATTAACAGAGTTTTGCTCCACAGCAAAGGTGCCACAGATGTTAAAGTCACTGCAGACATGGTGAAAGCAGCACTGGAAGAAGCTGAAAAGGCTCAGAATGCAGCTGAAAAAGCCATCAAACAAGCTGACCAAGATATTAAAGGGACTGAAGACCTGCTGACCTCAGTGAGTTCTCTATGGGTATTTCTTCAGATATAAAAACACCACCAAGTCTGATACCTGAAAACTGATGTAAGCCTGTCTAGGGAAGGCTCTTGGGTACTGCAAAGCAAAGACTGCTCTTAAAATGACACTAAACCCATTCCTGCCTTCACATCAACTTTGAGTGAGTATAACAGATGCTAGGGGACCATTTGCTCATGAAAAAAACCACAACCAAACACCAACAAAAATCCCAACCAAAACCCAAAAGGCTTTTCTCACCCCGTATCCTGCACCACACGAGTTAAATGAAATAAATTAATGACTGTGGCTCTCTCTAACACAGCAGGTCTGCTAAGACCTGTCAGCTGCACTGGTGTCAGTGTAGCCATGCTCAGTGTCATCCAGCACTGCAGCACCAGAATAAAACAAACAAATGCCAAATGGAAGTGGCAAGGGCTGTAATCTTGTCACATAAAATATTGTCAGACTTCATCTCAGAGCCCTCACCATAGTGCTTGGCCATGAAGCCCATGAAGCTTGGCCAGCTTAGAAGCTTCACAAGTCAATTGTAAAATGATTGAGTCAAATATCTGAAGTTTTGTCAGCAGATTAGGTAACTCCTGCACGTGTAATGCAATCAAATACTTTGAAACCATGTTCCTTAACACGTTTGCAGCCCCATATGTACCCTGTTTGCAAAGAGTGAGCTTTTCCACCCTCACTGCTATTGGCCATTTTCAGCAAAACTAAACCACTGTGTTTTAAAATCAGATATATGGACATTAATTAGTTCAACAAGGTTTATCCAGAAAGTTTAGTATTATATTCAGTGACTTTTGAAAGTGCAACTCTCATCCCTGTTTTAGATTGCATCTGAAAATGCAGCATCTGAAGAAACACTCAACAATGCTACCTTACGTCTGTTTGCACTAGAGAGGAGTGTTGAAGACCTTAAGCAAAAGGCTGCTACAAATTCAGACAACGTGGAGAATATAGAAAACAAAATAGTTACTGCAAAACGAAATGCTGAAGAAGTAAAAAAGGTGAGAAGCTCAGAAAAGATGCTAAGGGAAAGCCAACAAGACTCCCATCCAGGTTTGGCTAAAGAAACATCGGTGAATACACGTGACCCATGGCTTTTATTGGTCAAATACTGGGGATAAAAAAACCAAAACCCAACACTTAATGCACTTACCAAAGGTAGCTGCTTTTTACTTTGGTACCAGATATGGAGAGAAAGGAGTATTGGGAAGTTTTCAGGTTCTGAAATGGCTGCAGGAAACATGTCACACTGTCAGCCTTTCATAGATTTGGTTTTGTCTCTCAGCTTTGCTATCTGCCACAGGACAACTGGCAATTTTTTTCCCCTTGTATTTATGGTTCTGTGACAATCACAGGTTCAAGACAAACATCCTGGAATTTGGCATATATTGAATCAAGCAACAAGGAAAAGTCATTATCTCAATATAAACCCAAAGTAATTTCTAACTATCAGAGGTGCAGAATTTTCTCTGACCATCTGGCATTGCTCCCAATGTCTGGTGCACACCTTTGTAGTAGCAATAAAAGAATGGCTTATTAACAAAACAATTGACCAATATGCCAAAGGGAGTTTCACTGCTTCTATCTCTAGTCTATACTTAGCCCACCTGTCTCCAGAGAGGCATTTTTTGCCAGGAGAGCTGCATTATCCATCAAATCAACAATATCCAAACACTCAGTAGTATTTCAGGTGCTGTCAGGTAAACAAGAGACTTCCAGTACTGCTGCACCTTAACTTGCTTAATGGTTGAAGTCAGTTGGGCCATAGAACTTCTTAATCTTAACAGAATCATGGAATGAGTTAGATTGGAAGGGACCACAATGGGTCATCTGGTCCAACCTCCCTACTCAAGCAGGACCAGCCCCTAGAGAAAAGCACAGCTGAGAAACCAATCTCATGACTTCTCCAGCACCTTCACCTACCCAAACTAGACAGCTGAGAGGGTCTACTGAAAGGTTACTGGAAGAGTAACAAGGGTATTCCTCCCCAATTGCATTCAACCAGAATGCAGTTCCTTACCACGTGCAGCTTTCCAGCTGCACTAGGGACCGTGTCTTCCATGAATTACAGAACTGAGTCCCATAAATCCCTGCCAAGTGACAGGATTGAAGCTGTAAAACAGCCACAGATCTGCAAAAGTATGATGAGTATTCACCCCAGCTCTTAGTCTTGAGTAGGAAATACTCTGACACTAAAAGGTTAACTGAGCTAACATCGAAGTCTCTCCTTGCACTGGGAAGGACAGAGGGAGGAAATAAATCTCTTCTGCAGCTGCCTTGACTTTCGCATGAGCTCCATCTTGTGCTTGGATTGGGAACAGGTCCTGAACTCCGAGCTGAGCGGCAAGTACCGGACGGTGGAGGATCTCATCGCCAAGAAGACAGAGGAGTCTGCCGGGGCTCGGAGGAAAGCCAGCGTGCTGCAAGAGGAAGCTAAAGCCTTGTTGGCTCAAGCAAACAGCAAACTCCAGCTGCTCCAAGGTAAGGATGCTCTGAGGAGGTATGTTGGCACCTTAGAATATGAAGCAGTTTCACTGTTAAATCAGCTATTCATCAGCAGATGGGGGGGAAAGGAAGTTAATTTTTTTATTCTTACGGACTGTTAAATCAGCTATTCATAAGCAGAAGGGGGGGAAGGAAGTTAATTTTTTTATTCTTACGGGCACCAGACAGTCTTTTGAATCAAAGATTTCTGTAAAAAAAGCTGAAACTTGCACGTGAGACACAAACTGCTGGTATGGCACCTATCACTGCTAACACAACTAGTATGCTGAGAACAAGGACTAACCTGTTCAAGCAAGACACTCATCTTCAAACAGTGCTCCCCCCACTCCACCCTGCAAAGCTGTTAAAACAAAAGCTAATCAGGACACACCAATTCCAGTTTAGAGCTTAATTTAACATTTACTGTTGACAATTAGTCAACTGAAACAGGAAGGGGCAATCTGCCCATAGCTGCCAGGGAGGGAAGTAAGTTTTCCTTCTGATTTTGCCAGCCCAGGAACTCATTCTTCCTCTCTCAGCTGTTCCTGGACAATTACACTGACTTGTTAATAGTCTTAATCATCACAAGCCAAAACATTTCACTGTTCTGTAAAAGCAACCATAGAGCAAAGAGTGACAATTATTTTCAATGTGCATCAAAGTATACTTTTGGATTTCCACCTTTGGAAAGTAACTTCTTGTTGCTTTACATCCCAATGTTAAGGAAACAAAAAAGTGCCCTTTGTTTTTTTTTCTTTTTTTCCCGAATCATCTTATTTTCCACAATAAAAATAAATGTGAATAATAATTTATGCATAACTATAATGATTTACATTTCAGTGCATTAAAACACCCCTATTTAAGCTGGTCTTCCCCTTCCTTTGCTTACAGACTTGGAAAAGAGATATGAAAACAATCAGAGAGTTCTGGAAGACAAAGCCAAGCAGTTGGTGCAGCTGGAAGAGACAGTTCGCTCTCTCTTACAGACAATCAGCCAGAAAGTTGCTGTTTATAGCACTTGCTTATAAATGGGAGTGGGAAATGCTGATGGGTTTTTTACAAGTATTACACTAGTTCTTTTTGACATTACACTAAGACCTGATAAGGTGAACAGGTTTTATATTGACTTTAAAGTCTCAGAACCAAAGATAAGTAATTTTTTGATGTTGAAAATAAACAGTACTTTTGTATCACTGTATGTACCTAGTATGACTCGTTAAGTCCCTTCTTGTTTTCAGTAGCTGCAATGGCACATCAATTAATCCCTTAGCAAGTCTTGTTTTTAAATGGTTAGAGATCTAATAAAATCTGGGCTCCAACTATGTAATTCTGTATCACATTCTATAGCACTTTGATAGCCTTCCTGAGCTGAGGGGCCCAGAACTGAGCACAGGAGTCAAGGTGTGGCCTCACCAGTGCCGAGTGCAGGGGCAGAATCACCTCCTGGTCCTGCTGACCACACTGTTCCTGATCCAGCCCAGGATGCCATTGGCCTTCTTGCCCCCCTGAGCACACTGCTGGCTCATGTTCAGCTTTCTGTCTCTCCACACTCCCAGGTCCCTTTCTGCCTGGTGCTCTCCAGCCACTCTGTCCCAGTCTGTAGCTCTGCATGGGATTGGTATGGCCAAAGTGCAGAACCAGCACTTGGCCTTGTTAAACCTCATCCCGTTGGAATCAGCCCATCTCTCCAGCCTGTCCAGGTCCCTCTGCAGAGCCCTCCTGCCTTCCAGCAGATCCACACTCTGTTGTGATATATTGAATGAATATATTATCAATCCTATTACTATGACATAATGGATAGTGACTCAGGCAAAATTAGCAGTGAATGAAGAAATACCATCCATGTGTGGTTAGCTAGTTACACCACAGAACTCAAAAAGTATTATTTACCCCCTACATGGCTTTTACTCCCCCATTCAGGCTCAATACTAGTTTCATGTCACTGATCATGAAACACTTGATATGATGTGAAGTGGAAACATCATCTTAGAGGTTTCCTCCAACCTTGTGATCTGTGACACTCACACATAGATACCCTGCAGATCCAAGGTTTGGTTGTGAAACTCCACCTGCAGTGCTTTGTTCAACTCTGGGGTTCCCAGCCTAAGAAAGACACTGATCTTCTCGAGCAGTTCCAGAGGAGAGCCCTAAAGATGATCCAGGGGCTGCAACACCTCCCCCATGACAGGGTGAGAGATTTGGGGCTGTTCAACCTGGAGAAGGCTCCAGAGAGACCTTAGTGCAGCCTTCCAGTACATAAAGGTGGCCTACAGGAAAGATGGGATGGGACACTATCAGGGACTGTAGGGATGAGATGAGGGAGAACAGCTTTGCACTGACAGGTTTAGATATTAGGAAGAAATTCCCTCCTGTGAGAGTAATGAGGCACTGGCACAGGCTGCCCAGAGAAGCTGTGGCTGCCCCATCCCTGGAAGTGTTTAAGGCCAGGTTGGATGAGGCTCTGAGCAACCTGGTCTAGAGGACTTCCTTCCAAAGCTGCCATTTGCTTGTGTTTCTTCACATATTGAACCACTTAAACAGCAAAAGGATCTGCTCAGCAAACAAAACCCAGGAAAACCCTCCAGCCATGTTAAATATTTATTAAGCTCTCTTACTACAGGAGAGACAGAGAACAAAATAGAAAACAGAAGAGAAGAAAGTATGCCTGAACTGTGTGGAGCTGGCACTGCAGCCCTTAGGTGTGGAAGGTGCAGATAACCCTCAGGCCCTAGCACTTAACAGCAAATGCTGCTTCACTACCCAGTTTTAGCATTTCATGCTTAAGAGCTGGACAATGGAAGCTTTAAAAACAAAAATATAGGTACCGGTACCATCAATTTGTCTTCAAATCTTTAATTTCTCCATCAGCACTCGATTTTTCCCCTCAGGTGTTTTCAATATGAAAACATGACGTGTGGAGAATCACACACACACACACACACACAGAGCAATTTTCTCTTTGGAGAGTCAACATAATTTTAATTGATCTGTCTGAGCCCCTCTTTTCCCACCACCCTAATACTACTAGGTGAAAACAAGTTTTGGTACTAGTCTGTAAGAAGGAGGTTAAATACTCAAGTTAATCCTCTCGGAAGGAGACACATCTTGTGCGGAAGTGACAGTGGCGGTTTAAGTGCCATGGCATGGTAAGTGCCACCATTCAACTGCTTTATCATATCACTACTTCAAATAAGAAAAACACAAGGTCTGCTGGACACTGATCCAGAGATCTGACCAGCACACCTGATAATCCCATGCAGCAGCAAAAGGTTTGGTTTTGAAAAAGAGAAGAGGTGTCAGGCTGCTTTTCTGCAACATTCATCATGTAAATAATAAACATTTAAGCATTGAATTTACAGAGACTGGATAATTCCACTTGTTCCAAACTACTTGTTTAAACATCTGATGTTAATTCAGTCCTAAAATCCTCAGACTCAGCCTTCCATAAGGGCCCGTAGTCCGTTTTCAGAGCTGTATTATACACGTACAAAGATTTGCTCTTTCAGTTTAGAAGTTGATAGCTTTGCCAAAAGATGCTGCTAGGTTTGCTTCCCTGAAGGCTTCTGACACTGTCTGTGGAGAGCAAACAGAGAGAGTTACCAGTCATTAACAGTGTGTCTGTGTCCTGCTGGTGTTCAACAGTCCCTGTAGGAAAAACTTACTGGATGGGCATGGCACACTCTGGCTACATCTTCACATGATGCTCCATATTCCATAGCAAGAGCAGCTTCATTAACCATTTCACCAGCTCCCTGTAATTTAATGGTGTTTGCAATTAGCACAAATCCTTAAGCAGTCCTCAATCACTAACACCTTGTCAATGAGCACCTTTGGCTGAAATAAAAAAGTTGCATTTTAACTAGCACTTCAGCTGTGTTCTAAGTCATGAGTACTTAGTCTGTTTGGTGACTGTGCTCAAACCTAGCATAAACCTGCACGTAATTCCTGAGGAAAGTATTTGTCCTCTCACTGCTGAGAGCTGTGCAGAAACTGGGCATTGTTCCACTACATTCTTCCATGTCCAGTGCTGCAAACCTACCCAAAACTTCAGCTCCCCCCTGGAAAGTTAAACAGGTAGCTACATTAAAAAAAAGCATGTCACTACATCTGCACCTTCACTTTTATTGGTTGTTTTTATGTGTATTTCCTCAGAGAACATTTCTGGGAGGAGTCAAAACCAGTGAAATCTATTCTATTTTCAGCATCAGATCCATAACCTTAACATTTTCCCCCAGCCCCTTCCCAGGGAAGAAAATTAGATATATTGGTGTGAGACAGACTAAACTGTGCTTCCCTTAAGGCATTTTGATTTCTGAATTACTGGAATTGTGAGAGAAAACAACTACCATAATGTCTTCCTGAGAGCAGTTTTAGTGTTTCTCTTACACTGGGATGTATGGAAGTGCTTCTGCATACATCTTTAGAAAAAAATATTTAGTTTTAGTTAGGATCTAACTTAGTGAAAATAAAAAAGGATACTCCTCCCAAACAGGGAAAAATTCCACAAGTTCCATAAGTTACTGACCCCAGGTTTGGTGACTGCAGCATAAGGCTATCAGCTTTGCTCAAGTGGGAAGTCAGAGCAAGAGGGGACAAAAAAGACTAATGAAACAGCTACAGTCTTTTCAGTTCCTCAGCCTCCAAAACTTGAGTCAATGATTTCTGCTGTTCTCTCAAGTATTTGGCAGTATTCATAAAAGAAAACAAACCCAAAATAAAACACCCCCCAAAAAAAACCCTCAAAAAAAATCAAACCAACAAACTAAAAAAACCCACCAAAACCCCCCAAAAACCATAAAACTGGTCAGAGAAATCAAATAACCCTAGCAATTCTAGATTAAAAAATAGTAGGTCTAACACCAAAGTAACAGAAAAGCAGGAGGAGGGCAGGGGTACAGAAGAGGATAGTAAATAAAAATAACTGATGGACTCAAATCTTCCTTCTCTTTTTACAAGCAAACATCACTTCGAATGCAACAACTACTCTGCGACTGTGTAACACTAAATAAAAGACCCTTACAAGGCCAAGACAGCACAATTTACAATACTTACTGAGCCTAAAATGTGAGCACCCAACATCCTGTCTGTTGCCTTTTGACTGAGTATCTTCACCATCCCATCTGTGTCAGCATTTGTCTTTGCTCTACTGTTTGCAGCGAAGGGAAACTTCCCAATTTTGTATTCTACACCCTGCAAAACAGATGCTACTGAGTTAGTGACCAACAAGAACAATATAACCAGACAATTTGCTAAACAGACAAAGAGAAGAAATAACAGACCTAAAACACACCAGACACACAGAGCAATGTAGAAGAACAACCACCCAATGTGGTAGGAGGGGGTATTAAAACCAGATTCATTTGCAAATCAACAATACTAATGTCACAGAACACAAGGACCTGAAGGAATGGTCTGAAGTTGTGTCAGGGGAAGTTTAGGCTGGAGATTAGGAAATGGTTCTGCCCCCAGAGGTGTTTGGGCACTGAACAGCTCCCAGGGCGGTGTCACAGCCCCAAGGCTGAGTTTGGCCAATGCTCTCAGGCACAGGGTGTGATTGTCAGGGATGTCTGTGCAGGGCCTGGAGTTGGACTAGATGATCCTCGAGGGTCCCTTCCAACTCTGAATATTCTGTGCTTCTGTGAAGGACAACTGTGATCCTTGGGAGAGTAACATGCAGAAGGGAGTCATTCAATCATATCCCATGCAATAGTCAGATGCAGAAGTTCTGGATAAAGTAGCTAGATAAACTCCCAGACAGTGAAACCAGGCCCAAGGTGAACAACAGTTTTTGTCTGAAAAGAAAACAAACAGTACCTCTTCTTTCAGCTGTTCTTCTGATTTGCCAACCCAGGCCACTTCAGGGTGAGTATATATCACAGAGGGCACACAGTTATAGTCAATGTGAACTGCTCCCCCAGCCATGCCTTCCACACAAAGAATGCCTTCATCCTCAGCTTTGTGGGCCAGCATGGGACCAGCAACTACATCACCAATAGCATAGATGCTATCAGACCAATGAAACAGAACAAGACACTGTTGAAAAACATCCTAGCACACCTGGGCTACCTTATATAACAGCCTGTTTGAAATACTACTGAAAACTCTCACCAAAACAGATTCAAACACAACATTTTAGTAGTTTCCACAGAATGGCCACACCTCAAAGAGGCACTAGTGGCAATATGAAATGAATATGAAATACACAGTGACTCATCAATTACAAAACTTCAAAGGCTAACTAAAAATCTTTACTTCCTGAAATAAAACGAACCCTGAGTCTTCCTTTCAGAAAAGATATATATATTTTGCAATTAAAAAGTGCTTTAGTAGGTTAAGCTTTTAAAAATAAGTGTTCTGCTTAAAAAAAGAGTGAAAAAAATGAGTCTTACTTACTTTGGAATTTTTGTTTGGAATCTGTTGTTGACTGGGATTCTCCCCTTCTTATCCAGTTCAATGCCAATATCCTCCAGCCCTAGGTTCTTTGTAAAAGGACGTCTACCGATGCAAACCAGGAGCACATCACAAGTTATCACTTCTGCCTTCCCACCAGCAGCAGCTTCAACACTAGAGAAAGAGAAGGAGCAAAAATGCTTATAGCATTTGTCTTTCTCTGACTGGTAACTACTACAACCCAGATGGTGACCTACTGGCTGGATCTGGCACCCAAAACATTTGCATTCAGCCTGCCCCATGCTGCTTCCTTGCAAGAGTTCAGGAGAAGAGGGAGGAAGGGACAACACCTCTTATTACATTTCTTGACAGCTGTTAGAGAAATTCAGGGTGTATTTTCACTAGCAAGTAACATGACCTGATAGGATCAAACCTGTACAGCAAAATAATTGGTGCTGAGTACTCAGCACCCAAAGTATCTGTATTTTCAGGTGGGGTAGGGCCATGTGTTCAGCTTTCATCTGGCCCAAAAACCAAACACCTCTCACACACTGCCTGGCATCATGTGGATCCTTCAAGAGTTTAACTGCACCCAGAACAAGTTCAGCTCCCAGAACCAAAGCCTGGGAAGGGAGGATAAGCAGGAAATGTGCTTCAAACAAATTCTCCTGAACAAAAGGGAAATTCTAAATGCAGAACAGACTATCTGAGAGATCCAACCAGCACAGCATGGAAAGGAGCCCAAATCTAGGACCTTGGCAATGGTGGAGCACAGGCTATGCTGAGCTACAGTGATAGCACAAATACAAACCAGCATATTAAGATGCCAGGGGAAAAGCATTGAAGCTCACTTCCCTTAAACTACAGTTTCTGCACAGAGAAGACATTAACATGAACAGAAGTGCTGCATAACTTGCAGACTTTCACAGAGCAAATTTGCTTTATGTGTTTTTGTATTAACTGTTCATCTATAAAACATCGAAGGACTTGACTGTGGTCATTAAAAGACATTGTTTGGGTAGTTTCATTAGTTTCTGCTCAAGAGCAATAAAATCTCTGCCAAGCCTACTTTGAGGCAGGAGGAGGTATGAACAAAACAACCCTTCCAAGTAAGGAGCAGAGAATTCATGGCTTGAAGATGACTTTATGAACAACCACGATATTTATGCTTATTATGCCAGAAACAAATCTCTTCCATGGAAAGAACAATTCAGAATTCTGGTTTTATTACTGATCTCATCATAGCAACACTGGTTTTATACCAGCACACCTTCAACTCAAGTCAGTGGAGCTTGTCCTGTATAAACAACCTAGGGCTCATTAAACCCAAAATTCTGAGCTCTGCAAGTTTATAAGAGAAGATCCAAGATCCTCATCCAAGGCCAGGCTAGATGAGCCTTGAGCAACCTGCTCTAGTGAGGAGGTGTCCCTGCCCAGGGCAGGGGATTGGGACTGGATGATCTGTAAGGTCCATTCCAATCCTTAAATTCTATGATTCTAAGATAAACCCCAAATTTCACTAAAGAATTAAATTTCATTCTAAATCCATTTTTTTCCTGTTTAAAAACTAACATCAGACTGTATGTTTAAACAGGTGTGATGGATTGGGAAGAATAAAAATGGCATTCCCTTAGTTCGATGTTAAACACTTACGCTACGTCGATTTTTCCATCTGGTCTCTTGGTAGCCCCAGTAACTTTGGTGTTCAGTTTGAATTTAAATCCCTGCTTCTGCAGGATACGTTGGAAGTTTTTAGAGATCTCCATGTCAATTCCCATCCCACCAACATGGCCCATGAACTCCACAGCTGTCACATCAGCACCGAGGCGCTGCCAGACTGAACCCTGCAGGCACAACGATACGGGTAAAGAGACAAACTTCAGCTGTCTTTAACATGGACCACAGACTGCAAACTTTTCAAAAGCAGCCCAACACAACAGCAAACTGATCAGTTTTCATCAGTGTTATGAAACAAGCCCAACTGTCCCCAGCCTTTCCACAAAAAAACCCCAAAACCAAACACAGCACCACCACAAAAGGATTTATCACTGCTGATCTGCATACATACAATTCACTCAACAGCTAAATCACAGCAACACCAGCAAATATAACAAAAAATAACACTCTGTTCATTTGTAAATTAAAGGCCAAGCAGAGCAAATATCTTATAAACTAAAGACCAAGCAAGACCAAATATCTTCTCACCAGTTCCACACCAATGACTCCTGCACCGATGACAACCATCTTTTCAGGAACCTTTTTCAGTGACAGTGCACCAGTGGATGACACAATGTTATCTTCATCAATCTAATGACAAATAAATGCACAAAGGGAGGTTTACAATCTCTTTTGCACGTTATGTATACAGCACACAGAAGGTGAAGTCCAGTCAGAAGCAGAAAATGATTCCACACTGAATGATGTGGCTGCAAAGACACTGAAAAATCATAAAATTATCAGCTCAAATACTCACAGTAATTCCAGGGAAGGGAGCAACTTCTGAGCCTGTGGCTATAAGTATGTTCTTTGTGTTGATAACTTGTGTGCTGCCATCTTCTTTGGTTGCAGTGACTTGGTTTTTGCCAGTTATCTTTCCAAACCCAGATACATGTACAACCTTTAGCAGTCAGAACACAGCAAAGTCAGAGTCAAATTGCTTACGTAAGGTAAACTACACTTCATCCTAATCTCACCAGTGCTCAGACATGCTGCCAACACATGTCTTTGCATCACTGAGTGGTACAAATCACAAAGCAATTGTACACTGTTCTTTTAGGTAGATTAAGAATGAAGGAACTGGTCCTTTAAAAGTCATCTAGAAGATAAGTATTTGAATTCTGCCCTCGTTGAGTCAGTCACTCAGCTTAATTTACATGAAAGTGTAAAAAGCAAGAAATTCACATCAGAAAAAATCATGGATATACCTCAGTAGATAATGCAAACTAACCTTGTTTTGTTTAAATAAATGAGCAATTCCACCTGTTAAGGCCTTCACTGCACCACTCTTCTGCTCCATCATCTTCTCTAGATTCAAACTGATTCCTGTAACTAAGGTCAAAAAACAAAACCAACTTACACCAAGCACTGCAGTGTTTCAATTTTAAAGGAGCTAACCTCATCACAACTAACAGCTCTGACACAGCAAGATGTGTTGAATGGCCCTACTAAATGCTAAAGGTTACAACAACCATGTTGACAATCAGTATTACACTTTTCAAACATAACTTATCTATCCATGATTCAGGGTTCAAGGAATAGACACATGTCCCTAAGCCTCCAACTGACACATAAAGCATATTATTTATAAGTCTAAAAAGATTTCTGACCCTAAAACCATAGTAGTCACATTTGAAAGATTAAATCTGCTTCTTGATGGAATCCATTTATGCTAACAGGCACTGACAGCTGTTCTTCAGACTCACTTTCAATTCCTCTATTAGCAAAATCTTTTCCATGGGCCAAGTGATACAGATAGGAGTTGTTCAGCAAGGCCTAAAATACAAACACACAAATGTCATTTGGGACATACACTCACAAGAATTAGTTATTCATTAAGCAACCCTTGATATATGAAATACTCTATATATATAAAAAAAGTCTCATATTATTTGCAAAACATTCTCACTCTTACTAAAGCCTCAAACACAGGAATTGTACACAGTAGCTCTTACTGAAGCTTAAGCTGGGTATTCAACAAAGAAATGGAAAACAGTTATAACCACACCCATCCTTTTTGCTCATTTCACCAGAGAAACTGATAATTACTCCATAGGGATTTTAAAAAACAAAGGAACAGACTAAGCAGAGGAAAAGAATTTTTCTAACTTGACTGCCAAAGAGAAGATACAGAGAAAACTGGATGTGGAAAATCTACACTGAAATGACTGTTGAGATTTTAGCCTGTGTAGACATATGTGAGGTGAATTTTGAGTTGTTATGCTACACCTACTCTGACTGCACAGCTAGCTGAGCTGAAGCTACATGGCTTGGAGCTAGCTCAGGTATGTGGATTTTCAGAATTCATTAAGTCAGAATAGTTTTTGTAAGGATGGCTACAAATCAGCAGCTTGAAATGCAGAACTTTGATAACTGTATTTTCATTAAAAATGATAATACTGTACTCAGTGCTGGTGAGGCCACACCTTGAGTACTGTGCTCAGTTCTGGGCCCCTCAGCTCAGGATATTGAGGTGCTGGAGCAGGTCCAGAAAAGAGCAATAAGGCTGGTGAAGGGACTGGAGCACAAGTGCCATGAGGAGAGGCTGAGGGAGCTGGGGGTGTTCAGCCTGGAGAAGAGGAGGCTCAGGGGAGACCTTCTCACCCTCTGCAACTCCCTGACAGGAGGTTGGAGTCAGGTGGGGGTTGGTCTCTTCTCCCAGGCAACCAGCAGCAGGACAAGAGGGCACAGACTCAAGCTCTGCCAGGGGAGGGTTAGGTTGGATATTAGGGAGAGATTTTTTCCAGAGAGAGTGATCAGACATTGGAATGTGCTGCCCAGGGAGGTGGTGGATTCACCATCCCTGGAGGTTTCCAAGCTGAGACTGGATGTGGCACTTAGTGCCATGGTCTAGTGACCATGGTAGGGTTGGACTTGACGATTTTGAAGCTCTTTTCCAACCAGGTTGATTCTATGATTCTATAGTTAGGGAAGGATCTTACTAGGAAAATTGTTTTGCTGTAGCCATCCCAAGCATGAAATTATCCTCACTATCTTCCCAAGGACAACAGTGCAAGTTTGGACACACCGAAACCTAAAGCAGGCACAGTAGAAGAGTCAAAGGACATTTTGAGATACTTGCCTCATATACATATGCTTGAGTTATAGTAATACTAACACTGTCCAAGTAAGATAATTTCATTTTTATAGGTTTTATACACTGTCATTAAAATTAATTTCTCCATTTCACCTAAGTGTCACAACCCCAAACCAGTAACATCCGCATCACTTAAAGACACAACCACTGCTGGAGACTTCAGCAATTAGAGAGGAAAAGCCCAAAAAATCCATGCCCATGTATTATTTTGTGTGGCTTTCCAGAAAGGAATAGCTGAATAATTTGTCATTGCCTCAGTGTATTACAGATCCACTTCTTAAGTTTATTGCCACTTGAACAAATTCTGGATAGCATTCAAGTTTAACCATGGGTTCAGTAGTATTTTCATAAGGATTTTAAAGGCTAAAAGCAAAAAAAGGACTCAAGTAGTTAGTTATATAGATCCCAGGAGAGTTCTAGACTTTCGAGGCAACACTCTCTGGATTGGCATTTTTGAGCTTCATTAGAACCATTATTAAAATGCTTCAAAAATTAGTATCTAATTTTAAAAAAAAGGCATGATGTGTGCTATATTTTCTCTTACCATGCTAATGGAGCCTCTTGAGCTAACAGATTAGGAACAGCAATACAGGTAGGAGGGAACTTGTTAAGAACATTTTGTCTGTTACTCCAGTAATTACAGACCTGGAATTACCAGGGTCTCCTTCACCTGCTGGGTGCTATGGAGGCAAGAGCCCTGTCCTTACCAGGGCCTAGGTCTGAAATCACTTAGAATGGGACTGATAGTGTGAAACATTAGGTTCTGAACTTTTTCTTGCTTCTCCTTTCCTTCAGGGTGCATTTCTTTCCCCACCCGCATCACTCCACACAAGCACTACCAGCCCTACCCTCCAGGCCATCTTTGAGGCTGGTGACAATACTGATATAGCTCAGATGAATATTTCAACAGCTAATCAACCACAATCTTGCTACAGTCAATGGAGAGAGACAGGTCTCTTCCAAGCATGGTGCAGCCAACCAAATCCAGAGTGGATTTTTCAGGGGTGCATCTCTCCCTCTGATTTAATTTACTTTC